ATTTAGGGTACCTTTTTAAGTATTCTGAAAGCTTTCAAACACATTTTTATAGGGGTAAGTCAACAGGTCTTTTGGTACAGACTCAAACATGTGGCATAGTCTTCTAGCTTATAATGTAACCAACATCATAAAGTTTAAAATAAGAAAAAGCATTAAAATGTAAAAAAAATTTTTTAATTGGGTATAGTAATATTTTAAAACACTACTTTCTAGAATCTTCTTCAGGCTTCCTTTAAGTGTTAGTGGTTTATTAGTACATTACCAATAGACTGGTGTCCTAATTTTCTAACTTCAATGTTATTAACAATTATGATCTACCAAAAAAATCGTAAAATTCTAGACAGACTAGGCAAAGAAATCAAAAGCTAAGTGAAATTATCCCAAATAAAATACTAATTTTAAAACAATTATTGAAATTGTTGGTAAAATTAATCATCTAGGTAGTTTTAGGAATCATAACTATTGCATAAAAACAAAAACACATGTTTAAATATAATTCACAAGCCAACTGTGTCCACACAACTTATTGAGGCGTCCAAATCTGGAATCATCGACTCAAATGTCTGTTGAAGATGTGTCAGGGCTGAGGTGCCTCACACCATTGTCTAGCAATTCAGGCTAGAGGCAACCACCTGTGTCTCTTAACTTTAAACTTTGGTAACAAAAGTTACAAGTAGGCAGACATCTCAAAATACCCAATTCTTACTATAAACTTCAACATCATCTGTAGTAGTGTGACAAAACTAGCAGAATATCTTCATCTTGATAATCAACAAATAAACTTGTCAAGAAAAGAATTTAATTTTCCATGAAAGAAATGAATTCAACCTATAACAGTTTTTGCTTGAAAAGATATTTTAGATATGCTGGTAATACAATAGAGATAGGTAACACAAACAAACTTTTTTTTGTGTATTTTTTTATTGTTCGGAACACCAAAGGAACCCAAACTTCACATTTACAATGAACTTTTAATAAAAATAAGCTGTACATCATATTAAAAATACATATTATACACAAATTTCTGAAAAGTAAACACACTTATACAGTAAAGAGAAATTGCTACCATCTTTAATATTCCTTCTCTCCTAAGTGAACAACTGTAAAATGTTATGTTTATCTTTTATAAAACTACCATTATTCTAACTATTTTAGTATGTATGAGTCCTTTAAATTCAAATAATGAATTATTGTGCACCAAGTAATTTTATATTTTCAGATTATCAGTATTGCCAAAAGAATCAAAATCTCTAAAAGATAGAGGTTCTCTCCCGATTCAGAACTGTGGGCTACCTCTGCCTAGCTTATTACCCCCAAACTAATATCCACATTTAAGTATGACAATACAGAAACTCTTTAAACCAAACCTTCCGTAAGGTACTGCACTGCTTCTTCCCAGTATAATCAAGCCTCAGTACAGAATTTTTGAAGATCTGTTGAATGTTTGTTTAGACCTTACTCCTTTAAAAATGTTGCCACATTTCACAAATCAAGAAAGATCCAAGAACTCAGTTAAGCCTCACTCAATGGGAAAAAAAGTTATCAACTTGTGCTATTTAAATAAAATAGCACTAAGTCTAACAAACATTTTCTCAGTAAGCCAACTAATGAAGCTTTAATATGTGAGAACTTATCATCTTGTCTCATGTACCCTAAAAATATCAGAATTATGTCAAGATATATTTTCCCTAAAGTTTGCTTCCTATGTCTGCCAACAAATGCAACAGTTTAAAATGAAACCCCAGCTAAATAATTATATGTATACAGAGGGTGCCAAAAAAATGTACACACATTTTAAGAAAGAAAAAACTTGTATTAAAATTGTAATACTTAAGTCACATTTGACTTCTGCAATTACAAGAGACAAGATATAGCATAAAAGATAACAAACATTATCAGATTATCAGTATATATTGAGTATTACAAATTTAATGCAATTTTTTCCATTTTGTTTTTAAAGATCGAGTCTTATTTTGTCGCCCTTGGTACAGTGCTATAGCGTCATAGCTCACAGCAACCTCTGACCTCCAACTCTTAGGCTCAAGTGATCCTCTTGCCTCAGCCTCCCAAATACCTGGGACTACAGGTGCCTGTCAAAACACCCAGCTATTTTTAGAGATGGGGTCTAGTTCTTGCTCAGGCTGGTCTTGAACTGGTGAGCTCAAATGATCTATTGGCCTCAGCCTCCAGAGTGATGGGATTATAGGTTTATAGGTGTGAGCCACCATGCCTGGCCTCAATTTTTCCTTTTTTAAAATGTGTATACATTTTTGGGGGGCAGCCTCTTTTATAAACAGGGTCTTGCCATTTTGCCCAGGCTGGGCTCAAAATCTTGATCCTCCTCCCTCAGTCTACTGAGTAACTGGCACTACAGATATGTTCTACTGTACCTGGCTAAAAGAATGTAATTTTAGAATCTCAAAGTAAAATATTCTTTTCTAGGTGTCCTAAGTATCACCTATGACATTGTTACCTGTGATAAGCACCACTCTGTGCCAAGTGTTTTATATGTTAGCCTACTGACTCATCATGATGACCTGGTATATGTCATTTTTAACCCCTTAATAGTTGAGGACATTGAAGTTTAGTATCAACTTCTCTGCTTCAAAGTTTTCTGGTCAGCATAACATATCCTTTTATTATCTTAAAAGAAAACTTTAACCATCAAGAGGAAATCTGAAAGCATCTGAGCTCTAGTGTTCTATCACTTGATTATCCCAACCTTATTACTGATCCTTTAGTTCTGCAACTTACTGCAATATGATTACTATGTTCTTCTATCAAGATAAAATCGTCTTTTGGGTGAATCCTCTTTTATTTGTACACAAAGTCTCCTTTCTATGAAAGGTCAAAATTCATGTGATATTCTTTTTAAGACTACTGACTGAAGGCACATGGAAGGTTTTCTTTCTCGTGACTAGAACTAACTACTGTATTCTAGTTAAAAGTGCTTATTTTAATAAAATTTTTCATTTTTATCTTATGTTAAATTTTAAACTTTTCTAAATTTGGAATAAATGTCAATTTTTAAATTTTGTTTGTAAAAGTTATAAACAAAGATAGTCATTAGAGGTGAAATATGAACAGCCCTACATTGAAAACCACTCATCTATCTATCTATCATCTTACTCATGTAACAAATGTCCCTCTCTTATGGGTCTGTCCATCTAGTGGAGAGGGAGATGGATGCTCAGATATGTCAGATTTAGGATTTAATTATTTTTCTAGCAATGTTTAGCTTACTAAGTTTATTTTTCGAAGGTTATCAACTTCTGATGTATTTTATTTTGTTTCACATATTGAACGCAGGGGATAAACTGTATGTTCAGTAGTGGTAAAAAATAAAAAGCAGATCTTCCAGACCTATATGTTAAATCAGCAGCAAGCTACTTACTACTCTTCAGAGTTGTTTGAAAGTAGCTGTTATTAATCTCTTAAAGAACACGAATTTTTTTTACTCATTCAATAAATTTGCTAACCCCAGAAAAGAAAACACAAATGAACGCAATTTTTACACAATTCCGTAAACAGTCTCGGGTGGCCTAATATCCATGGACTCCATAACTCCACACTAGGAAATTCATTTCAAAGTGAACTCACAATCAGGCGTGTGTGTGTGTGTGTGTGTGTGGTGGTGGTGGTGGAGGGAGGAATGTGAAGGAAAGGGATTGATCAGAGATTACTATCCATTTCAGGTTCTGTAATTCTTATCCAACCATCTTAATATAAATATGAACAAAAAAAGCATAACAAAGCAGATCCAAAGATGTTATGGCTCCCTGGTTACTAGAGTTCAATGTTCCTTCTACTATATGATTTTCATTAGAATGTGGACCTCTTAAGCAACTTCTTCATTTAAACAAATCATTTTCCATCATTTATGGCAATAACACTGCTATATTATTTGTGGTAAATTTTGATCCCAAATCCTCTTTTACCATTACCCAATCTGTGTACTAAGGGATAAATAAAATCAAGTTTATTATCAGCCTAAGCTGAGTCTTGGGAAAGGCAGAAAACAATGTGCCACTTAAAAGCAAATTGGTTTTTATTATAAATGTGGTACATGCACAAAACAAAAAATTCCAATACTGAATGATAGAAGTGAAAAGTAAAAGTCCTCCATCATAAACCAATGTCCCACAGGACTACATCTCAGAGGTAACCAATGAGTTATTTCCCAAAAGACTCTCAGGTTATGACAGCAAATGTGCATACATGTATACCTCTGAAAAATACAATGGGCCCACGGGACTGGAACATTGTAACACTCAGGAAGTATTAACTCCCCATTAGGAGAATCGATGTTAATTATACTTGGCAATACCACATCAAATATAACAATTTATTAATTTAAAAGAGGGACTACAATAAGAAGTATGTGATAAATTTACAACTTATCTGAAGGATAAGCCTCCTTAAATATACAAACAATCTAAATCACACCTCCCTTGATTGCAGTAGTGAAGTTGTGGATAAAGAGTAGCACAGATAAACTCTAGCAGGAGAAAAAACTGTGGGGGTGGTGTAGGTGGGAAAGTGGTAGCTCAGGCTGTGCAACTGCTACTCAGAAAACAAAACTGTTTTATTGCAATGTATCAAAGATGATTACTTTGCCAGTATGCGAAGAATGCTACCAAAGTCCAAATGTTTCAAGATGGATTAAAACTGGCCCAAAGAAAAAGAATCTATTCAAAAGCTGGTAAGAGGCCGGGGTTATGGCAATGGACCCTGTACCAATTCCGCTGCGTAGAGACCACTTTAATCATTTTTCTATACCAAATTAAGATATGTGAATCCAAGCATTTCTTCAAGACAAATAAATATGATTTCATCTTTGAGGTTATCTCTTGGTAAAAACAAAGTACACATATTTAGGAGGAAGCAAGTCCTCCAAAAAAAAAAAATCAGTCTTGGAGAACATTTTACCAAAATCTGCATTGTTTTTAAAAATCTAACTTGAGGGGGGGGAAAAACTAATGATAAAAAAACGAACTTACCAAGAAGTGAAACAGGCTGGGTTACAGGAGGGGTGGGCAGATTCGTGGGTGCAGCAGGTGGCACAGCAGAGCCATACATTTTCACACTGTCACCAGAGTCAGCGTTTCCTCTAGCCCCAGACACCACTGTTGGAATGGGATTTCCAATAGATAAGTCTTTTGTAGTGTCTTCATTTATACCAGCGATAGTAGCTAAGGAATATAATTATATCAACATGTGAAGCTGAATAATTAATCATCTCCCCGGTCAACATTCTTCTGCCATACTACAGACCCTATTACTGGTTCACTCTCCCTCCTACCCCCAGCTCCAAGAGGACAAGTGAATGCAAAGGAAAAACATGCTTACAGTTTGGGATGCTGATTGGTGGAGTGTGAGGAGGAGGAATGGATACTGGTGGAGTTATAGGAGGTGGGGGTCCAGGAGGAAGAAAACCTAGGATAAGAAAGATAATGTCAACTTATGCTGTAACACTTCAGCAGAGTCTTTAAAAGAACATTTTCTCTAACAACTTAGCGTACCTGGAGGTAAATGCATTGGGTTGAATCCTGGGCGCAAAAATGGTGGAGGAGGAGGGGGTGGAGGGACACCAGGACCAAAGCCTGGAGGAGGAATTCCCAAAGGAGGGGTGAAAGTGGGTGGCTGAAGAGCACCAACTACAGGAGGACCTGGCTGATGTGGTGGGACCTAGAAACAAAGAAAGAAAGAAAAAAAGATGAAGCCACATATCTTACCACTTTCCTATTAACATAGTGAGTACAGACAAAATATCTTACTGTTGAAAAATCAGATGTTTCTAAATTTGTGATTATATCAATAAATTTATTAAATACAGGTAGTATTTAATCTGTACTTAATCCAAGTGACAAAAATCTAAGTTTTACTTTATTATGATTATTTTTTAAGACAAAGTGTCTCACTTTCTTGCCCCTGGTAGAGTGTCATGGTGTGATAGATGATGGCCACTTCAAATTCTTGGGTTCAAGCAATCTTGCCTCAGCCTTCCCAGTATCTGGGACTACAGGTGCTTGCTACAACGCCCGGCTATTTTTTAGAGACAGGATCTGGCTCACAATTTTACTTTATAAAAGCAAATTCACATTGTATTTTAGCAGCATCTACTGACATTCTGAGATCACATGATACATTTAAAAATGTCCCATGACCAAGTAACTTTGGGAAATACAGCTCTAAGAAAGACTGTTTGGCAATTTAAATAGTGGTGAAGATCACAGGTCCTGGGACAAACTGGGCTCTCTCCCAACCCCAGTGTGAGAGCAGTGTGACCCTGAGTTATGTAAACTTTAAAATGGCCAAATGCCCACCTCACCTCAGTATGGGGATTAAATGAGTTAACACAGGGCCTGGCACAGTGGCCCATGACTATAGTTTCAGCTACGTGGGAGGCTGAGGCAAGAGGATCACTTGAGTTTGAGGTTGCCATGAGTTATGATACCACAACACTCTATTGAGGGTGACAAACCAAAACTCTATCTCAAAAAAAAAAAAAAAAAAAAAAAAAAAAAAGATATCATAGCATATAATGTACCAAAGCATATAATTTTTTTATTACACTGAGAAAAGTAAGAGATCACACATCCATTTTTGTGATGGCTCAAATTTATCTGATTCAAATTTAATGTGACAAACTAAGGAAAGAAAGAATTGAAAGAAAAAAATATAATTGATCACACATGTAATTATGGGCCAAGTACTTCTAATTTTCACTAAAAGGTTTTTCTTATTCAGCTCGTATTATGTAGCAGAAAACACCCTGAGCACTTACCATAAACAACTCTGGCATAGGAACACCAGGCCTGCGAAAGGCCAGTAACAAATTCCTGCATTTTTTTTAAACTTAGATTTTTAAAATCACTGAACAGTTTGAGCAATTCTTCTGCTTTTACTTCAAGAGGTTTAGGGGTACAAGTGGTTTGTGGTTACATGGATGAATTGTATAGTGGTGAAATCTGGGCTTTTAATGCATCTGTCACCAGAATACTGACACTGTACCCAATAGGTAATTTTTCATCCTCTACCTACCCTCAGGAATTTACAAACTTATAGACAGGAAAATGAAGCTTAGATGTTAGATTACTTGCCAAAGCCACATTGCTGAGTATAAAATAATGGAGGTGGAAAACAATTCCTATTCTATGAAAATCTGAATTCTTTCTTTTGAAGTAACAAGTTGGTTAACTAGGCAGAAAAGATTATGTTAAACGGCATTCAATTCGAATTCATCCATTAAATAGATGTGAATCATCTATTTAATCCATTAAAAACATTTTATAATGGCAGCATAAAGTGAACATTAAGAAACTCCCTTCCTCTAAAAACAGCTGCTTTTTAAGGTATATATCCTAGAGCAGATGCTTTTTAAAGTATATATCCTGAAACAGCTGCTTTTTAGGTATATATCCTAAGTCTTTAGGAACATAAAGTCTCTAAGGAATGAATCCGGTAAGAAAAAAAGGAAAAGCAAAATATATGAAACTCTTAATAGGTTCTCACTTCATGTCTATGAAGTTAGAAGGTAAGACAATAAATAATCTAGACAAATGAAGGGCAACATAAATTTATTCTGATTTTATTAATGTTCAGGAAAAGAATAGAGTTTATAAATAATAGATCTGATATTACAGAATATAAAACATGAATATGGCCACACATGTACTCATGGTTTTGATTAGGAATCTAGACATATATCTCTATAGTGAGATTTAGACACTTCAAAGTTTAAATAGTGCCCCAAATATTCTCACCTGTGGGGGTGGCACTGTTATAGGTGCAGGAACAGGAATAGGAGGGACAGGTACAGGTAGAGGTTTAGGTATGGGTGATACTGGTTCTGTGTGTGAAGTTTCTGCACCTCCATTTTGAGCAACTTCATTTTCAGGCTTCTTGGGAATTCCTTTCCAATCTGTAAGAGTTAAGGAAATGTAACAATAAGAGTGCACCACTTTCAGTTTATAACATAAATCTAGAAATGAAAAATGTTGATTATAAAAGTACTAGAAGCCTAGTTAAAGATATTTCTATGCTAATTTTATAAATAATAATTATTTAATGAAAAATGGGAGAAAATGTGAAAGAATGTTTACTATGTGCCTGGCATTGTCCTAAGCACTTTATTACACCAACTTACTTGTCATAATTGTCTATAAGTATTCTCACTGAACAAATGAGGAAAGCAAACGTAGTTTGTCCAAGGTCACATCCCTAGTTAAGTGGTGTGGATGGATTCAATCCAGACACATCTAATACTAGAGTCTATGTTCTTTACTACACAAATGTACTGTTTGGATTACAAAAAGTATTTTACAAAAGATAATGAAATACCCAACATTTCCTAAATAAACTTTCCCTAATATTAAATTAAATAACTTAGATAACCTCCCATCTATTTTAACATACCTTCCAATCAAGTGAAAAACAGAAAACCATCTTTCTGATCTGTCCTCTGGGGCCATACTCCAGAAATTCTCTTTGTTTTCTCTACTTTATCAATAAATCTTTCCCAGCCAAGCGGCATTTTAACATTTATGCCCACAAACAACTACAACTTCTTATGTATTACATATTTACTTTAGATTGCTTCCCTGGATATTTAAACATTTCCAAGGAAATTGTAATGAAGCACTGGATTAAAACACAACATTAAAGATGCTCAGTTTAAGATCTATTTGATCTGTAAGTTTTGCTGTGCAAAATTCTACTTAATCCAAATGGCTTGGTTCTTGAAAAAAAAGGAAAGAAAGGAAAGGAAGGGAAAGTAGAAACAGAAAGGGGAAAGGGAAACAGGGAGAGAGGAGTAGAGTGGAGGACAGGAGAGAAGAGAAGAGAGGAGGGGAGGTGAGGGGATGGAGAGAGGAGGAAAGGAGGAGGAGGTGGAGGGGAGAGGAGGAGAGGAGGACAGTGAAGGGAGGGGAGGAGAGGGAAGAGAAAAGGGGTGGAAAAGAAATACTCTACTTAAGAGCTATTTAATTCTGTAATTAATAATTAACCTTATAATCAGTAATTATTTCAACCTCTTTGCATCTCTTCCACTAAATATAAGCTACCTAGGGGCAAAGATCACATCTTTCTCCTTCCTTACTCAATCCTCAGTTTATAATAAAGAATTTGGCACAGGGGGGAACTTTAAAAATCTCAAAAATCACAATGGCAAATAAACACATAAAAAAATGCTTATCTGAGTGGCATCTGTGGCTCAGTGGGTAGGGCACTAGCCCCATATACTGAGGGTGGTGGGTTTGAACCCAGCCCTCGCCAAACTGCAACAAAAAAATAGCGGGGCGTTGTGTTGAGTGCCTGCAGTCCCAGCTACTCCGGAGGCTGAGGCAAGAGAATCGCCTAAGCCCAAGAGTTCAAGGTTGCTGTGAGTTGTGACACCATAGCACTCTACAGAGGGCAATGAAGTAAGACTATCTATTAAAAAAAAAAAAAAAAAAGAATGCTCATCCACTCTAATTATCAATGAAATGCAAATCAAAACCATTTTGAGATATCCCCTAACTCCAATGAGAATGGCCCACAAGGTCCCAAAGCAACAGTTCCTTATATGGGTGAAGAGAGAAGGGGAACACTCATCCACTATTCATGGGACTACGAACTAGTACAGCCTCATGGAAAGAAATCAAAGAACTAAAAGTAGATCTACTATTTGACCCTGGACTTGCACTACTAGGCATTTACCCAAATGAAAAAAAGAAATTTTACCAAAGGGACATTTGCACTAAGAGTTCACAGCCATTAAGTTCACAATTGCAATGATGTGGAAACAACCCAAGTGCCCATCAACAAATGAATGGATTAATAAAACTGTGGCATATGTATACCATGGGATATTATCCATCCCCTAAAAAAAGATGGAAATTTTGCATCCTTTGTAACAAGTGGATGGATTTGGAGAATATTCTCCTAAGTGAAGTATTGCAAGATTAGAAAAACAAACATCACATGTACTGAATACCAATTTGAAACTAGGCAACCAACAATTATAGACCCACAGGAGAAAAAAATCTCAAACTCAAGAAGGAGGGAAGGTCGGCAAGGTGAACCAGCCTGAGCCAGAGAAAGACCTCGTCTGTCTCTAAAAACAGCTGGCCGTTATGGCAGGTATCTGTAATCCCAGCTACTTGGGAGGCTGAGACAAGACAATCACTTGAGCCTAAGAGTTGGAGGTTGCTGTGAACTCTGATGTCATGACACTCTACCCAGGGCAACAAAGTGAGACTCTGTCTCAAAAAAAAAAAAAAAAAAAGAGGTACAGGATAGGATCAGTAGGTTCCCATCCAATGGGTATAATACATAGATACGTAGCACGCTCCTTGGGTGCAGGACACAACTCTGATTTTACAAAGATTGTAAATTACACAATCTAATGGTTTGGACCCTCATGTTAATCTGAAATTAAAAAAGAATGAAAAAATACATCTTGAAAATTAGGCCAGGTGTAGTGGCTCATTCCTGCAAACCAGCACTTTGGGTGGCAAAGGCAGGACCCCTTGAGGCCATGAGTGAGACTGGCTGGACAACACAGAAAAGACCCCATCTTCTATTCAGAATAGAAAAATTAGCTAGGTGGGGTGGTACATGCCTATAGTTCCAGCTACTTGGGAGGCTGAGGTAGGAGGATCTGCAGTGAGCTATGAACATACCAGCCTGGGCGAACAACAATAAAAAAGCAACCCAAAATCACTTCCTAATGCAAAGAATAGGACATTTGATTTGTTATATGCACTACCAAGCAAACAAGTCAACTGTGAAAGAAATTCAATACTACTTTACCTGGGTTGAGTGTGTCACTGTCCAACATTCCTCCTTCACAAAAACTCTCCAGTTCCTCAGGCTTGACTTTGTCCCACGGAATATAAGTTACACCAAGTTCTACATCCCAATACTGCTTATAATCTGCCTTTATTCCTTTGTTTAAGGCCCAGGCAATCTATTTTGTCATTAATGAAAATATAAAAAGGAACAAAGAAGAAGGCAATTAAGATGCAGGCAACAAGTTGTGAGAGTTCACTGTCATTCATTTCATTCTTGCTTGGGCAGCAAGAGCAAGGAAGCAATCTGGACTAGTTATCCTGGATGTCATTAAATCCTATTCTTACTGCGGAACTAATTGACTTTGTTCTCACTTTATCGCAGGATGAAAATTTGACACCTGCTCCTTACTAACTCTCTCCCAACCCAGTCAGCATAAAACTTGGAGAAAAGAAAGATATTTATCAGGAAACAGCTGAATTTCCCTCAACAGCCCAGCATACTGGGGATACTTTTGAAAGTCAATGGGTGCCTTGTAATTTCACAACATTAGATAAAATCCTTTGGTAGTGGAATCCAAAAGTAAAAACAGGGTGTTAGGATACTGAGGCAACACTGACTTTGGCTCCTTAGGGGAAGAATGCCCTTGTACCTAAATCTTTTCTTCTCTCTTTGGTGAATAGTTTTTCACAGTTAATTCTGAGACAAGATGGACAAATTCAACAATAAAACATGTAATATCCAATTCTTTTTGAACAAAACATATTATTAAATATCATATTTACAGCACGAACTTAACTGACTTTTGCTAAAGTCACCTACATTTGAAAAAAAAATCTGTCTCACATGTAACTTCTAAAATTTTATGTTAATTAAATGCTATAGTTCTTTCAGGGGATAACCTCTTAAAAATAAAAGATACATATAAAAATGCCCCAGTATCAAGTCATTTCTAAGCCCTAAATTGCTTAGGGCTTTTTTTTTAAAAAAGCCACATAATAGGCTTGGCGCCTGTGGCTCAAGTGGCTAAGGTACCAGCCACATACACCTGAGCTGGCGGGTTCAAATCCAGCCTGGGCCTGCCAAACAACAATGACGGCTGCAACCAAAAAATAGCCGGGTGTTGTGGCGGGCACCTATAGTCCCAGCTACTTTGGAGGCAGAGGCCAGGAGTGGGGGGTTGCTGTGAGCTGTGATGCCACAGCACTCTACCCAGGGCAACAGCTTGAGGCTCTGTTTCAAAAGAAAAGAAAAGCCACATAATAATCATGTATTTTTAAAAAATGAATTATAAAATATAAAACTATACATACCTTTATGGATTTCTGGTTTACTTTATAATTTCCTCGGCTCAGTTTCTGCAGGGCACGATAAGCATCTTGTCTATGAACCATAACGATGTAGGCACAACCCCTGGGAGGAATCATCTGCTCCAAACATTTTAATATTATAAAAGATTATAATAAAATGGAAGAGTAACAAGCTATAATACTAAGTAACCAGTTCCAAGACCCCACCTCCCCAGCCACAAAAGTTAAAGAGGTGCCAATTCAAATTTGGTCTTAACTGACAACTGAGTCCTCTGAACTTTGTTATATGAAGACTTGGTTATCTAAGAAATATTAAATGTAGAGAACGCCAACATGAAACAAAACACTGAATCTCTAGCCATATCTATAAATCTGGACAAATGATAACTTAGTTCTCAAGTCCTTAATCTTATGAAATGACATCAATCACATCTGTCCAATGTCATTAAATAACTGAATAAACACTCACATTAATTGATTCAATAGGACCAAACTCTTCCAAGAGACTGGCAACATCCTGCTGAGTAGTCCTTTTATCCAGCTGTCCTACCCAGAGTGTAGTACTGCAAACTTAAATTATAATAAAGAAAAAAAATAGCCACATTAGATAACTAGTAGCACTAAGCCTTACATAAAAAAATTACTCAAAATCTGTGTTATACTGTGATATCGCAAGTTTAAATAGTAAATCCTATATATATTTTAAAAACTTTACAAAATTACATTAGTACATCTAGAAAGAATACAGTGAGAAGTATACATGGGGGAGGGGGGGGCGGGTGGAAACCAGCTCAGTTGTGGACAGAGCTAAAGATTTCATCATCCATAGTAAGAAGTCAGAGAAGCAGTAACTTGCCTAGAGTTACCCTGCCAATGAATAGCAAAACTAGGACTTGAGCTCAAGTCTCTTGATTACCAACCAATTTAGCACTCTGTTAGTTATATGTAGTTGTCCTTTTCTAGCTCTTTTTTTTTTTTTTTTTTTTT